TGGGCTGTTTTGACCCAGCGGTTGGGTTAAATGTTTAACCCAACCTTCTGGGTAGTAACCCAACCGCTGGGTCAAAACAGCCCAATTGCTGGCTTTGTCCCTATTTTACCCAGCACTGGGTTGTATTTAACCCAGCATTTTTTAGAGTGTAGAATGTTTTACAAATAAATCTTAAAATGAACATGTTGTTGTATTCATATCACTTCATAAAATAGTGTACTCACATTAAGGAGGGAAGTATTTACTCTGTGATGCCTCAGAGCCCTATCTTTATAAGAATGAAATTGTTAAACCATGATAAATACAGAGTATCACTACAGAAACATAAACTGCATATGGTGAACTTTGAAAGAGTGTCTCCAAAGTAACTATAGTTTGGTTTCTTTTTCTAACTGAGTTTACAGAACATTTACATCAGTAGCACATCTCTTCCTCCATATGATGAGCGCAGTTGTGAGGAAAACAGCCAAAAACATGAACACCAGCACAGTGAAAATTACAGACTGACTGAAAGATCCTGGGTCAGATTCAGCCACATCTGAAACTGTGGTGGATAAAAACAGTGAGATAAACAACAGGAAAATAAATCTTGGACTGATTTAAATTTCATTGTAATGTTTACAATGACAACAAAGTAATTGAATCTAATGTCTATCTAATGACTTGCAGTTTTGATTGTTTGAATGTTTGTTAGTTTTTCTTTACCAAAAATAATGCCCAGCTCTTCTTCACTGATCACCAAACTCTTCCTCATCTGGTACGTTATAGAAAACATATCTAAATTATATAAGATAACATGTTGATTTATGTATAGGGAGGAGAAACCTAGCAAGTCTGAGCTAAGACAATGTCTAATTGGTCAAGACACTATTAGGGATGTGTCCAACAGCCAAGTTTAAAAACACGACAAACAAATTTGGCTTTTTGGCGCTGATTTTTGCTTTTAAGCTTTATATTCATCGAGCGCTCTTTCAGCATGCCTGTGGGCCTGCATCCTTGCTGCTCCTCTACCATCATTAGGAGGTTAGCCAACTAGCCTCGTCACACTTTTCTTCTTTCTTTCTTTTACTTTCATTTCTTTTCTTGTCCATTGAGAGTTTTGTGTTCTACAATGTGGGAAACCCTTTTCAGCAGTACATACAAAAGGGAATCCCCTAACACAGCCAATGCAAGTAAACCTCCAGATTCTGAGCTGGTGCATTTAATATAAAGATTCATAGCCTGACTGAAAACTCAATATGAAGGTTAAATGAAATGATTGATGGTTATTCAGGTCTAAGCAATTCCATATATTGCTATGAACATTTTCACTCTCTTAAAACTCATTCTTTCCTCACTTTCTCTCTTTCTACAGCTGTGAATGTGAATGTATGAGTGCGTGTGTTTATGTGTTAGATTCATTTATATGTCTTAAATTTGTC